TCCTGTTGGAATCCGGCAGAACCGGCAGCTGAGCAGAAAGGCCCGCCGCCGGCGGCTGGCTGGGTCCTGCTGCTGCCCTGCCTGGCCCCGGGCTGCCCCGGCGACGGGGAGGGCGGCAGCGCCGGCTGGAGGCTGAGCCGAGCCAGGAAGGGCCTGGCGGACGGACGGGAGAGGAGGCCTGCAGGGGCCCAACGCTGCGACCCGGCCACAGCGCGCGGCGGGGGGGTCGGCGAAGCCGGGCGCAAAGCCCGGGCTCCGCTCTCTTCCGCCCACAGGCCAGCCCGCACCCCCCGCGGCCTCCGGGCCCGTGGCTCTCGCCACAGGCTGGCCAGTTGTCACAGGCAGGTGGCCTGCGGGGGCGTTTTTGGCAGAACAGCCCCTTGCTGAAAAGCTGCCTCCCCTGAGGAGCTGGGAAGTATGTACAAAGATAGTCATTGTTCATCAAAGATTTTTCAGGAGCCTGAAGACCGGCTCGGGTGGGCAGGGTCCGTGGACCCAGAACACAGAGATTTAGGGGTTTCCCGCCCATCCTCGGGCCCCAGTTGGCACCCGCAAGGCGCTCACCTCCTGCCCCGCCCGCTGTCTCTTCCCCGAACCGAGAAGGAGCCCGAGTGCCGGGCTCCCCCGGGACGGACTTCAGGAGCCTCGAAGGTCCCTGCTCCTTCAGCGGCACCTTGTCCGTCCGTCAGGCTCTTCTTATTCAAACTCTGGTGCGTTGAATGTTGGCCCCGGGTGCACGGGGCACGTGGGCTTTAACGGGAACATCAGGGACCAGAAGGCCGGAAGCGACGGCCGGGCTGCGGGGGTGGAGAGAGGGGACCTTAGAGCGATGCCAGGGCGGACGGTGAGGCTGGCGTGGGCTCGGGGGGAAGAGATCTGTGACCGGGAGTCACGGGGAGCCCGGAAGAGGGGTGGCAGCCGGACACTCGTTGACGGAAAGGCGGCCCCGGCAGGTGTCGTCAGACAGGAAGAGCCCACGGCCCCTGAGCTGGCGGAGCCGGGCACTGGACACCGGCCTGCGGACTCCGAGGGCGGAGTGGGCAGCGGCGGCTATTCCATCGCAAACGGGCCTGCCCAGGAGCACGGGAAGCGGACGCTCCCCCCGCTCGCCCCACAGCGGCGCGGACTGCGCGGGGCGGGAGTCACAGGCCGCCACGCGCGAGGGGCTCGGGGTCGTGCTGGGAGCCAAGCGGCCGGAGGCGAGGTCAGGGTACGGCGTCATCTCTCCAGGTGTGAGGACGGCTCTGAGGTCCGTCCCCGCGTCCCTCTGTGCGGTCTCGTGGGAGAGCAGCGCAGGGAGCCCCCACCCCCGGGGCTCAGGAGCGGGCACAGGCCGTGGGCCAAGGCACCGCCTTCCGGCGGCAGAGGTCCCACCCCGGGACCGCAAGCCGGGCCCAGGCTGCCACCCCACGCAGCCTGGGGGGCTGGTTGCCAGGGTTTGGCCTCTGAGGGCGTATATTGCGGGGCCGTGATTTCCAGAGCTAGGGTCTCACGCCGAGCCGAAGCAGAGGCTGGAGGGCCGCGGGTTTCGCCAGGGCGCTCTCGGCGCCGCCGGGCAGGTGGAGCCCGGGCCCCGGGATCCGAGCAGCGCCGGGGCATCGTGCGGGGCTCGTGGGACGCGGGCGGGCGGACGGGCGTCACCGACGCGCAAGCAGGTGATGGCCGTGGCCCAGGGTCCGCACCTCACGCTGCTCTCTTCCCGTCCCGCCGTGAGTCCTTGAAAACAGAAGCCGGGCCTGGCCTCCTTCTCAGCCCCGGGAGCGCCCGGAAGCACTGCGACAGGGCCTGGGGCGTCCTGCGGGCTGGGGGTCGGCCGGGGGCCTCCGCGGCGGGGACAGCGGGAGGTCAGCAGGAGGGAGGGAGGGGGCAGCGCCGGGCGAGGGTCCAGCCGCCCGCCTCCGCGTGGTCCACCAGGTCGCCGCCCCCGCAAGTCCGCCCGCAGAGCTGCACGGTGAGGAGTCCTCTCGCGCACAGGTCGCCGCCGCCGAAACCCTCCACCTCCCCGCGGCAGGGCTCCGCGCTGAGGACGCTGAAGGAGGCCTTCGGCGGGCGGGCTCTTCTCGAGTCTGGACACCAGCTTCGTGACGGGCGTCACGCTGGCCGTGCCCTGAGGCCACGGCCTGCGAGGCGCCAGGGCCCGGCTTGCAGGTGACAGAGCTCCGCGGCGGGGACGCAGCAGCTCCACTGCATGAAGGCCTGAGGGGGGACCGGGGGGCGGCAGCCAGGAGCACGAGTCCCCGAGGGCTTTTCAGCCACGGAGGAAGGAGGGGACGGGCGAGTGCGGGAAGTCGGGGCACGAGCCTCCCACTCAGGATGGGTCCCACCCGGGCAGCCCGCGGTCCTGCACTTCTGTTTCAGGGGAAAGAGGCGGGAAATGCTAAGTCGGGTCTGGGTCGTTCGGAAGAGCTTTGTTGGGGACGAAGGGCGTCTGACCCCAGACCAGCGCCTGGAAGGCGGGCTTTGCGCTTCCCAGTGCTCAGTCCGTTTCCCTCTTCTGTTTTCATGGACGGTGTGACCCAAGAGCCAAATTGCCTCGGACACGTTGGCACTTAGCTCTGAGAAAAACCGCCCCTCCCAGGAAAACGGCAAAATGGTCCCAACCAACAGCAGCGAAGCGTGTGTTTTACATATACACTCAGTGTATAAACCACGCCCTGTGGAAGAAAATCCACTTTTCTGAAGAGAAGGAACAGGAGCCATAAAGTCAGACAACCCTTAATTGTGCTCCTGACTCTCGGGGAATCGATCGTGAACAAAGGGGGGACCACACGCCCGCCCGGCCGGCTCGGGAGGCCCTGGCGCCCTCGGGGACACAGTCTCCGCACACGGACTCCCGACTGCGGCGGCCGTGCCGGGCATCACAGCCGAGGCCGGCGGCCTCGCCGACACCGGTCAGCCTTTGCTGTCACCGAGCTCGGCTGCTGTCTTTTTGCCTCTAAGATGACAAACCCTTGAAATGTCAGAGGGATACCCTTTCCAGGCCCCTCAGGGCTCAGCCCCCCCGGCCCCCGAGCGGGAGGCCCAGGGCCCCAGGCCCCCTTGCCCCCCACCCCCCTACAGTCTCTGCAAGGGAGAAGGGCGTGTGGCCCCGTTTCACCCTGGGTGGCTCTCAGAGACCCCCCTGCGGGGCCTTCCCCCTCCCCCGCCCCCTCCCCCGCCCCCCCTGCGTTTCCCGTAACCACCCCTGACGTCCCCTCCTTTCTGTCCAACGTGCGGAATACGGCGCCGCACTGCCGCCCCCCAGAGCCTTTTCTCCGCTCGGTGAGACTCTGCCTCCTGGCAATGGCCGTCGGTTTGACCCAAATAAACTCATAAAAATTCTGACTGGTTTGGGTGTTTCTTGGAACAGTGAACCGTTCCAAGGCATCCTCATCTGTGAAATGAACTAATCATATAAATCTCCTAAAACATTTAATGATCTAATTCACATAAAGAAGTAGAGGTCCTGAGTCTAACCCTCACCCCTAAAACGTGAACCGCCATTATTCATGAATACGGCCTCTCGGCGGCAGCCATGTGTGGAGCGTTGGGGAGTTTCTATAGGGTGGCTGTTACATACATCATATTTATAGAGTACAGGTTTGCTGGGACCTACAGTTCTATCTTAATAAATTACAAATATATTACACTCATCGAATATTAGTGTATGAATTCATTGAGTAAGAGGTGAATATGTTATTTTATATTCTCAAAAATTAATGCAGAATCTACCTTTATCTTTAAAATGTGACCTTGATATTCCATTTAAAATTAGAGACCACAAAACATCAGGTTTTCAAACACTCATTACAATTTAATAAAACAGAAAAAATGGAGAATAGTGAAAAATTTATAAAGACAAATTTATTAATACAAAAGAAATAAAGCAAATGACATACATAATCACTTAAGCTAAAAAAATGTAGCTACAAACTTTCAATTTAGATTATCAGTTGCATCAAATATGGGGAAAACACTAGAATATAGTATTTCTACACCTCAGTAACACATAGTAAATATGGAATAAGTAAAAAAAAATTATCCTGACAAACAAAATGACAGTTTTGACTTAGGAATTCACAAAGGAGAAGATGGAGTTCAGAAAAAACAACTTGTGGTTTTTGTTTTTTGTTTGTTTTTGGTAAGCCAGTAAAACTAAGATATTTTATTTGTCTGTCCTGTTACTTATAGTGATAAAAACTCAAAGTCTTCATTCAAGTAGTTATTCCAATATTCAGATACATATATGATTTCTTAACAAAATGCTTCCTTCTCAAACACAAAAATTTCACTTTCCTGAAGTCTTTAATGTTTCTTAGATCCCAGTTTTATCTTTCTTCTTAGCACAGCCCTGGCAAAGCCATCTGAATGCAAAGCCCCTGACAAAATATCTGCCTTTTAAAAGATGCTAATGTAACATATGAGAACAGGAAGGCCTCTGGGGACAGCGCTAAGCAGCCAGGAAAACGGGGATCCGAGAGCCGGTCGCTCCTTCATCACGCTGATTAAAGCCTTTCTGAAACCTTCATTACAAACCCAGCGCGTTAATTGCTAAGCTGTTTTTAAACAATTAATATTAGCGGTCTTCAATCTCATCCCCGAGTCCCCTGGAAAGCAATAGTTGATCCTGCTTATTCAGGGCAACGGATGAGCCCTGTATGTAAAAGAACCACATAAGCCTTCCCCTGCTTCCGTGAGATCTTCTCCCCTCTGCGTACACACGCCGTGTCCCAGGGAAACCACAGCTGTGAGACACTAGTCCTCGGCAATGTCATTTTGAAGAAACCGACGAGAGAGAACAGACACGCAGACGGTTTAAGAAAACAAATCATGGCAGGCGCACCGGGCAGCGTGCACGGCGTTCGCCGAGGCCGGCGGCGGACCCGCGGCTGAGGCCGGGCCCTGGAGGGCCACGCGCCCGACCGCCCGCAAGCCCACGCCCGCAGGCTGCGCTTCCAGACCACGGCAGGCGTCTGGCTCACGCGCGCGGCTCGATGGGCCAAGTACAAACGCACGCACGCCTACACGTACTGGCTCCTGGAGTACACGCTCAGGGGCTTCTTCTCCGTGTGGCCGTTCCTGGTGGCCGTGCGGTGGGAAGGCAGGGAGTACCTGTAGCTCCTGCTCTCGCCGCCGACGCAGGAGGCACTAGACAGCACCGCCCCCGCCGCCACCAGGGCCAGCGCCGAGGCCCAGCCCAGGTAGAGGGCCTCCCCCAGCTCCCGCTTGCGGCCGTCGTCCAGGGTGGGGTTGTAGAAGTCCCTGATGATGGAGCTGGCCACCCAGCTCACGGGGGTGAGCACCACCAGGCCCGCGATGATGAACGTGATTCCGGCCGCCAGCAGGAGGGGCGCCTTGGCCCGGGCATCGTCCCCGGCGCACCTGGTGCACTTCATACCGAGGACGGCCGTCGCGAAGGCCAGGAAGGCCAGCACCGCCGCCGCGCACATCAGCCCCCGGGCCGCCTGCAGGTCGGGGGGCAGGGCCAGCAGAGAGTCGTAGACCTTGCACTGCAGCCTGAAGGTGGCCTGGCTCTTGCAGCTCATCCACAGCCCCTCCCAGAGGTTTTCAAACACCACCAGGTTGGCCCCAATGAAGGCGGACACCTTCCACTGAGGCATGATGGTGACGGCCACCGCGCCCACCAGGCCGACGCCCCCCAGCACCAGCCCGGCGTACTGCAGGGCGGAGCTGGCCATTGTCCCCGGGGGCCGTCCGACCCGACTGGGCTCCTGAGCGGCGGATCCGCGGGGCAGCCAGGTGCTCCGCGTCCCAGGGGAGAGCAGTGTCCTGCAGCAACGAGCTCAGAGCCCTGTGGCTTTTCCCAGAAGAGCTGCTCGGCTGCTTCCAGCTCGATGGAATCCAGCGCCGGCCGGCTGGGGCCCTCCGCCCCTTTGACAGGTAAACTCACAAATCAGGTGGGGCAACTTTCGTGGCCAATAAAGGACGGTGGTAACGCAGCTGGGTCTGAACCGACTGGAGACACTCGCAACGGCTGGCCCTGCACATAAACGCTCTTTGTGCTGCTCAGTTTTCCAAGAAGACGGCAGCCGCGTGTTGGCCCGGGGGCGCAGTGCCGGTGCCCGCACAACCATCAGGAAGTGCACCCATCCCTTGTGAGGTGAACAGGTGTACCTTGTACGGGCAATTCTGAAATTCTGCGCATGAGCTGCCTGAGAAATTTCCTAGGACTTGTCAAAGTGCCAGAGTGACAAGGAAGCAGGGGTTGAAGGGTTCCTCCCCCCGGGGGGCACGTGGGATCCGAGTGGTTGATTTAATTTGTCTACAACTTTAAAGCTCCCTGGGGTCAAGTCAGGGAACAGCCCGGGCCAAAGGGCAAAGTCAGTCATTCATTGAACACACAAGGGAGTCCTGTAGGGCGCGGAGCAGATTGCTTTTTTGTTGCCAGGAAATCTATCTACTGGTATTTGAACCATAATTTATAAGAAAAAAGATGGTATAAGGAAAAAAACCTGTTGGAATTTGAATCTTGATTTACAAGCAAAAAATGTAAAAAGAAAGAAGAATCTATATACTCTCATATAAGCAGCACTCACACAGCAATTCAATGACCAAGTGATCTACGTACAGATCGCTGACTTATTTTGTTGCTCTACCTTTGCTGTTCTGTCTTCTTAGACCGAAGCAACTGTAATTCTGCAGATGGTACAAGAGTCTTTACAAATGGCTGATGTTTCTAAATAAAATTATTATAGGACACGGTGACTATAATCGTCGAAGTAAATTTTAGTAGGTGTTACCTAAACTTGCCTTGGACGCTGTGTCTGCTGGAGGGAGCGGAAGACGACAAGCAAAGCCCATTGGAACTGTCTCTCCCTGAAATACAGAGCAACCCACGTGGTGAGTCTGCTGCCGGCCCGTCCAGGTCTGTGGAAGAACCGAATACGACCAAGAACCCCAGAAAGCAAAGCGCGCTCACAGCGACCGCCGGCTTCCCCTCGGGGGAGGCCCCCCTTTTCCGCATCACCGGAAGCATGATTTAAGTCCAACAGTTACATTCACGGATCCACTTCGGCCGTGCCAACCGCATAGCCCGTGCTCATGCCTTCTCCTTATAAAGGAGGACACAGCGTGTCCCTGGTCCCCCCCAGGCCCGGCCACTGCCACCCTTGCAGCGGTCAGCCCTGGGCCAGCGGCCGCTTAGCCGGGGCTCCTGCGACTCTAACTGCCCCTTGAAATAATGTTTGCTGCTGCCTATCAAGCCGTTGCCAGTTTCTATTGTTTTTTGTATTTGTATTTATTTTTTTCCTGCTGTGTCGACTGTTTTCAACCTGTATTTCTTTTTAAATTATTTTTCACTGTTCAGTGACTCTCCTTGGCTGACCATCAGGTGGACATATCAGTCGATCTCTTGGTTTGTTGCTCCCCAAACATGGCTGTGCACCGATCGCTACACACCCTTGAGCCCCTCCCTGCCCGTCCTCCACAGCGACCGCCGCCCGCGTCCTTGGCCCGAGGTTGCACTCGCTGGCGAGCGGTCCTCCTCGTTCGCCCCCCAGGATTCACGTTCCACGGCTCCGCTTACGCGTGAACTCCTCGCTGTACAGTAATCGTCCAGGGGCTTAGTCAGCTTTAAAAACACCGTAGCCTGGGTGGCTTGAACAACAGAAATTAATTTTTCACCGTTCTAAAGGCTGAGACATGGAGACGTGCGAAGCCTGAGTACATGGCCCAAAGCCCCGGGGCGGGACCTCACATCTCCAGACCCCGAGGCCACGCTCCACGGAGTCTCTGAGGGTGGGTCCCGCCCTGCCCGCCGGGCAGAGCCCGTCCGTCCGCGGCCACAGGAGCGCGACCTCTTGCCCGGCTCTGGGCCGAAGCTCCACGCCCTGTGGCTTTCCAGAGGCTCACTGAGCGGGATGGAGAGAGGCAGCGTAGCCCCACTTCCTAAAACAAAAGCCGCCGCTCAGGACAAGGCGTCCTCAGATGGACTCATCCGGGGGCAAAGGCCGCACGCACGCCCGTGCGAGGGGGCGGCGGACGCCAGGACCCCGAGCGGACACTCCCGTGCAAAAGCGAGGCGAAGAGGGCAGGGAAGGTAATTAACCAGGCAAACAGAGCTAAGCTGGGTTACTGATTAATTTGCAAGACAATTAACTTTCTACTGAAAATCTAAATTAAGATTCTGCCTGCCTCAGGCAACCCCGTGTGCAAATTTTAACAGGGCCAGACACTCAGCACCCCACTTAAAACCAGCTCAGACCACCCGGGTAAGAACATTCCAGGAACAGCAGCGCACAGCATTCTGGGCTTTCAGTTACTAGAGAAAGAAGACGGAAAATATTACGAATTCTTACGACAGGCTGGACAGGCTGCTCTCTTTTCAGTCAGAAGAATGAGAAACGGTGAAGCTGTACAAATTCTTACATCGAGTATTTATAGAGATTTTGTAATTTTTGTAAAGTTTTCAAAATGGCGTCTCATAAAGTATCTTCTGAATATTTCCCTCTGTCCAACAAGGACCCTCTGTGCACAGGGCACAGGGTAGGTGCTGGGGACCGAGGACTCAGAGTGGGGTCCCTGCTCCCCGCGGCTTCTGTGCCTGTGGCTCCGCGGGGCATGGAGGAAGGACTGCGGGTCTGTGACTTGGTCGTATCAAACCACGTCGTTAAAAAATAGCAATAATAATTCCATTCCATGGTCGTGCCCCTTTAAAAATTCCAGGTTTTTTAAGCCCACTTCCTAGTTCATGGTGGCCTGGGGTACCCAGGAGGCAAGCCAGCCTTTTCTTGAAGAAGCGCGCCAGTGGCTGCACAGACTCCTGACGGCAGCCTCGCTCACCCGGAAACCCAAACAAAACAGCTCGAAGGCACGAGGGGCCCTGAATCAGAACCGAAGAAGCCGTGACGAGCACCCCCGGGGGACCCGCCGCGCCCCCCAACCCCCTGCCACCCCCCGGCCCCACTCCGCTCCCCGCCCGGGGCCAGTGCTTCGAATCCCTGCCCGGGAGCCCGCGCGTGACTGTTGGGCCGGGCTCTGGGGGCCCCTCAGGCACAGCCTCGGCTGGGCCTCTGGGCTCCCAACTCCCCCGCACCATCTGCTCTCATTCCTTTGTCACCAAACTGGTTTGTCCTGTGGATAGAAAAGGAGCCGGGGAGAGGGCAGGGGACCGGGGCTGGGGGGACGGCTGCCGGGAAGCCTGACACACTCAGGGGCTGAAACCGCCCCCCAGGGCGGCCTGAACACAGAACTCCTGCTGGGCGGCCGTGCGGGCAGTCACGTCTGAGGCCGGCGGCCTCGCCGACACCGGTCAGCCTTTGCTGTCACCGAGCTCGGCTGCTGTCTTTTTGCCTCTAAGATGACAAACCCTTGAACTGTCAGAGGGACACCCTTTCCAGGCCCCTCAGGGCTCAGCCTCCTGCCCCCCTCCGGCCCCCGAGCGGGAGGCCCAGGGCCCCAGGCCCCCTTGCCCCCCACCCCCCTACAGTCTCTGCGAGGAAGAAGCGCGTGTGGCCCCGTTTCACCCTGGGCGACTCTCAGAGACCCCCCTGCGGGGCCTTCCCCCTCCCCCGCCCCCTCCCCCGCCCCCCCAGGGTTTCCCGTAACCCGGCCGACGTCCCCTCCTTTCTGTCCAACGTGCGGAATACGGCGCCGCACTGCCGCCCCCCAGAGCCTTTTCTCGGCTCGGTGAGACTCTGCCTCCTGGCAATTGTCATCCGTCATCCATTTGGCTCAAATAAACTCATAAAACTTCTCTCCAGGCTTGGATGTTTCTTCCCTGTGTCAGCGTCCCCGTCCAGCCCGACCGCGCTCCGGGCCAGGGGCTGGAACAGGGAGGGGGCGCGGTGTGTGCGCGCGGCAGAGGGACGGGACAGCAGGCCGGCGGTCTCGGCGGCCAGCCGGTGCCCACGTTCTGCAGATGAGGGGCCGGGGGCCCCCGGAAGGCGGGCGCCGCCCTGTCCCCGCCACCCAGGTCGCAGGGGCTTCCCGGCGGCCCGTGCGCAGGAGGGCTCACGCCCGCGCGTCACTCGGCCTCGGCCGGGGCCACGGTCCCCGCGCGCCCGCCCCGCCCCTCCCCCCGCCTCTCAGCGACGAGGACGGTCTGGACCAGCCAAGAACACGACCTGCTGCCTCTGTGTCTGTTTGTCTGTTCTTTATCGTGTGTTTTCCCCCCAATGAACATAAACGCCGTGGGCGAAAGGACTTTGTCTTTTTCACGAGTCTATCTCTGGCGACTGGAGCCTGACCTGCTTCCTGGGAAGGGCTCAGGAAATAGGCAAGAAACGAATGGGTGATACAATTTAAGGGAAACTAAGCCCATGGAACCTTGTTAACCTCCCCTGCAAGCAAATCACGGAACTTCTCAGTCTTTCTCAGGGCGGCGTCTCAGCGCAGGGGGATCGAAGCGGCGCCCGGCTCGCCCCGCCCGCCCTCCGGGAGCCCCGCCCGCGGCGGGGACGCGAGCCTCCGGCCGCTGCCTTCCTTCTCGTGTCTCAAGGGCTCTTTGCGATTAGACGTACTTTTCTTTTCGTGTATTCTGCCTCCCTTCCCTCATCTTGTACACAAATCACCATTTCTTCACTGTTTACGATCAGCGGTCTGACACTCCTCCAACGACCAGGACAAACACTGGTGGACTAAGAGTCTAAGCTCCCATTTTTATTTAATGGATGATTTTAATATACCAGGTAATTATGAATTATAATTTTTCTTCTCCAAGTATAGTAACTAAAATAGA